TAGGAAAAGCAGATGGCCGCAACAGAGTTGTTTTGAGATGGTTTGTCATAGAAATTATTTCTGTCTGGGTTTTGTTTTTTGTTGCTTCTGTTCCATTTTGTGCAATTGAACTTGTTCAGAACTACTGCTTATTATGTTGAACTACCATGTTTATCCCGAGAAACGATGGCGGGAGAACTTGTGGCTTTTTTGGGGAGTGAGGGATGTTACTGGCATAATGAAGGCTTAAAACTAGGGCTTCCTAATGTTAAAGTAGTTCAGTGCCACTTTAATTAGATATTTACCAATGATGATCCCTCCCACTTCAATTTTTAAATAGTCTGCTTTCCCTTCTACCCACACACTTGAGTAAGATGGGGGAAAGCTATGATTGGGTCCCACTGAATTCTGCTGATGGGTTGCCTTTCCCCCACTTAAAGTCCAGTCCTGTAGTTGACTAAAGAGGTGTCTGATTAAAAATAAAGAGTCTAAGCACGATTGGGGCACTGTTCCCTTGCAGCACACGTAGCTGGCAATTTGCACCTGGTTAGGTTTTTGCATTAGATAACAGCCTAAAGTTAACAGTAGCATCAGGTCTCTCTAATTTCTTTTTTGTCTTTCTGGAAAGAGGGTAAAAGGAGAGCCTGGAGGAGTCCTTACTTCCTCTTATCAGTGGCTCAGCCTCAGCTGCCCTTCTTGGATCCCCTGCCAGGGCTGCTATCATCTTCTGATCAAATATTAATGTGTGATTCTCTGCTTGCTCACTAATCCAAAGCCAATTAATATTATCTGTCAATTATTTACAGATCCTGAGGTGCGGAGGCAGTTCCCAAAGGACTACAGTGACCAGGTTTGGAATGCGTAATTAATTTTTTACATGACAAAATTCATTTCAGGGTTGTTCAACGTATTATAGCTGTTCTTTTCCCCTTAAAAAACACAAAACAAAATAGAACCATTGGGGGGGAGGGAAAGGGAATTGTGATTAGAAACTTAAGATTTTTTTTTTAAAAAATGTATACACAACATGTAAAACTTGCATGCATAAACTTGAATAGATGGTTTTGGTTCTCAATAAGGCTTTCCCAATTTCAGAATCTATTTTGAGAAAGCAAATTCATGAATTTCACTCCTTAAAAAAAAAAAACTTACTTTGCCTTGGAGGTGCTTCAGGCTGCTGTTAGTTACAGAATCCTCATCTCGTTGTTTTAGGGTTTATGAGTTTACTTGGCATCACATCACTTTTTAAAAATTTCATGGTCACATCAAATCTGGCAGAATGATGGAATATAAAAAGGGGAGGGAGTGACTGCATGTAAAATGCCGTGGGAATTTTGCAATTAGTGCTCAGAGCAGAGGGGAAAGGGAACACATCCTGCTTTGCAAAATTTGTGTGGCTGGCTGTGGTAACTGAAAGCTACTGCTGATCTTGATGGCTTCTTCCTCTTTCAAATGCATCTTGTTATAGAGTAATGTTGGGAGGGAGGGAGGGAAGTTTTATTTTTGCTCCATCGGTGTACTTAGTACACTCTAGTTGTTTTTGCTAGGAAGCTCTCCCTTTGGGAAGGGGTTTCATGTCAGCCATTGCAAGTCTGGGTTGAAAATCGATCTCTGGACCAAATTCTCCTAATTGTTACAGCCCTGAAAAATCTCCATTCAGCTGGGTGCGGTGAAGTTCGCACAGAAAGGCTCCCGTAATAGTCGTTATCAGGTTTTAGTTACATTTTCTTACGGGAGTGTTTGATTCTGATCCTTTTCCTTCCTTCCCTCCCACATTTAAAAACCTTTCTGTTCCGTGGAAGGTGCAGCGGTGTCTCGTGCCTGCTGCTGCTGAGCACGTCCCAGCATGGGCCCCTCAGGCCAAACAGACCTTGTCTTGTAATGGTGTGTGCAGCGGACGGGACAATAGTCGCCCCTGATGCCTGCAGTCCTGGAGAGCCCCTGTAGTATTAATATAATTCTTTTAAAAAAATAACACCCCCCGGCATATTGCTTGAGTGCTTTTTGTTGCAGTTTTATAGTGCCTGTCCCCCCCCCCCCGTACTTGCACCATAGCGTTGAGGTGTGCAACAAAGCATCCTTTTGTAAACACACAAGTCCTCATTGCCATCTCGTGCCAATAATCTGTTAATAAATAGCTCCCTAAGTACACTCTGCAGCGTTGGGCCACAATGTGTGCTGAAAGAGCCGCTAGTCTATCATATGAAATGTAGTCGGATTAAGGGTCCCTCCGAGCTGTTGCTGTCTCTTGTGCCTGTGATCTATGGATTATAGGACTGTCTCATACATAAAATATTTTTCCTTTTTGTAAAACAACAACAAAAAAGGAGAGAAATCTTAGTATTCTGTAAACCACCTCTGAACAAACGCAGTACAACCTACAGAAATCCAAAGATGCAAAGCTAATGTGCTGCTGGAACTTCCCTGATCTTTTTATTCAGCTCGTGCTTTTAAAAGATCTTTAAACAAACAAACAAACAAAAAGAAATGTGGACAATCAGTTCAGGAGGTGGGGAAGGTAGCAGACTTCTCAACCTTAAACACACAAATTTCAGGTTCACAGCGACCTTACTTTTGGTGCCTTTTTAAGGGGCTGGAAGAACGTAAACTGCGTTTAAGCCTTGAAGTGACACCAGGCGCTTGTGAGAACAAAACTAAGCAAGACTTATGGTCAGCATACCATTTCTGAATGCTTGTGAAAGCGATTCGGAAGCAGAAGATGGCCATTTCTAAACAAAATGAGGATTCTTTAATTTAGTTAACAAATGTGGCAAACCTAAATGCCATATTTTTGAAGGTGTCAAGTATGTGTTGTTCGTTAGCAGAGGGTGGAAAGTTGAACAGCAAACGCACTGCAGGGTTTCTTTTTATTATTTAGGCTCGGTCTGCAGCAAAGGTGGGAATGAAGTTGAAGTTTTAGGTGTGGTGGCCTTTTGAAAAAAAAAATCAAATTACTGTGGGGTTTTTTTCCCTTGTAGCATACCTTTAAAAACAAAACGGTTCCTTTTGTTTTTATGTGATGCATGTGCAACTTGTACACAAATGTTTCTTGCTGACAATCCAAATCCGTGAGGAATATTGTGAGTTAAATCAACACAAGGCAATTCTCTCATTAGTACGAAAAAGCCCAAGTTCTGCCCCCCCCCACTTCCCCAGTCTAAATTCTTGGCACTTGTTTTTACATACAGTGTGTTCCCCATGTAGGCAGCGCATCTGATCAGAGCCCTTGCTGCCGCTGGATGTTTTATTCTGTGTGTTCTTTGTACCTAACAGTAAAAGAATCTGTCACAAATTATTGTGGCTCCCAGCTTTAGAAACCTGAGAAAAAAGGGAGGTTAGACTGACATCTGTGGCTGAATAATGATGGGCAGCCTTTTGGCTCCCCTTGAGCCACAAAGCTAGCATTGCCTTTAGAGAGGAAAAAGGAGTATAAGAAGAAAGGGGGGAGTGATAAAAGGAGGTTACAAATCTGTGGTCCTGGAGATGTATTACTGTTGGGCCAGTTGTCTGCATGGCACGATAATCCGTTTTGATCTCCTGTCTTAATTGTCTGCTAAAGACAAATGGGCAGTAAAAGTTCATCAGTTTCATCTCTCGCTCTCTTTTTTGCTTCTCATTTAGAGGCAGAATAAATGATCCGTCACTACAGAAAGAACTCCTTTCTTTTCCGACACAGGCGGAAATGCAGGACCCCAACACATTTTTATTAAAATATTTCTCCCTCATTATTTCAGCCCCCTCAGCTCTGATAGATCTCGCTGTTTCATGAAAAATGTAATCTGAAATGTAAATAAGGGGTTTGGTACAAAGGGAGGAAGTAATGAGCCGACTAGCCACATTGCTGGAATCTTGATTGTAATTACCCACCAAGGTGAACGCCCCTGCTTGTCCCCCCCCACCCCGTTGGTCAGACCACAACAGTAAAAGTGACTTAAATCTGTAAAAAACCTATTCCAGTCCTTGGGATTTTATTTTCAAAGGTCATATGCATCATATAGGAGAGGGCATCCGAGGGAGAACTAGTGATTTCTTCTAATTTTTTGGTAATAGAATCAATCATTTTAGAGGACTATGCTTTCATGTTGGCCGTTGTTTATAGCATGTCCAAAATTAATAACTTGTTTTTCAAACATGTTCAGCTAGCGCCCTTCTCCCTCTTTTTTTAATTTTTAAAAAAGGTGTGTGTTAAATTTTGGTGCAGATGTTTTGCACGCTGGCTTTGGTGAAAGTCGTGTATAATTATCACAAGGGTTGTGGTCTCTTTCTACCATCTTACATAATATATCCCATATGCTAGAAGACATGTTCTAAATTGCTGAAATAATTTTAGCGACAGTTTTGTCATTCTTCAAGTCTATGCTTTAGACTCTCAAGCAGATAAAAGGTTTAAAATAATTTTCAGCCCCTCTGTTCCTAAAGAAAATTCTAAATAACCTCTGCAGTTAGAAAAATGGCTCCTTTGTGAGGAAATGCAAGCAAACACAAATGTGGATGGTTAATAAATAAATTGTGTTTAAAGAACCAAATTAATTTTTTGTCTCAATTCCCCCCATATAACTTTTAATTTGAGGTTTTAATGATTCTATATTTATTATACCTGTTCCTGAAGACGAACACCAGCAAAGCTTTACTCTTGGGTTCTCTGATCTGATTCATAGACATGAACCAGTCAGATTTAACATGCGCTTAAAATCTATCCCTACTGATATTAGCAAGACCTAAAAGTGCTTGCATTGTGGTCAACTGCACATTGGGGCCTTTACTGTCATCTCCACATGGGTACACCATGGCCGGTAGCAGTGAGTGAAGACTTTTAAGCCACTTAAAAGGACTCAAAAACTACTTTTTAAAAAAGTTGTAATCAAGATTAAAGTTTAAGAATATTATTATTTTGGTGTGAATGACATAATGAACGTGGAGTAAAAGTGGAATTATTAGGGCATTCTGCTATATTAGATAAGTTTTTTGCATAATCTCTAGTATTAGAGCCTCCTCTCTTCTGCAATTCTTTTATTGGGCATTGTGTGTGTGTGTGTGTGTGTGTGTGCGTGCGCACACACACACACACACACACACACACACACAAAGCTTTGATTTATATGCTCCATCTGCTTAGTAGGCATATGATGACAGACGTTCTGTGTATAATTTGATCAACTGTTGTATGAAGGCTGAGGTGCTCCTTCAGAATGGGTACTTCAGTGTTCTTTGCAGGTATTCCGCCTCCTTTTCCATGGGCACAGAAACAGTGGCTGTAATGAATCCTTACACATTTATATGGAAACCGTAAACTTTATATGGGCCACTTTATATAGAAACTAAGAGCCTTTCTTGTACAAGCTCCATAACCCATATAAGAAACATGGCTGTGGTGGTGATGGTAAAAAATTAAAGAGGAATATCCTTTTCGTTACCACGTTGCAAACTGATTTGGAGAACGTTTGCGTTGCGTTGGTTGTATGTGCGTGGTGTAAAACTTGCAACCTCACGGCCATGTGCGCTGGAAGCCTGCCTCTACCGTGAGAGAGTTGGACGCAGCCTTGCCATGGGAGAAGGTGAGTTGGGTGCCATTGCAGACAGCAAAGTGTGGAAATGGTTTTGACCCAGGAAGGACAACCCACTGAACAATCTCCTACCTACAATCTCCCACCTACCTATCTCCTTTAGAATGTTATGTAAGCCTCTCTGGGAGCCTTTTTGGCTGGAGAGCAGGATACAGATGTTGTAAATGAATGAATGAATGAATGACTAAATGGGACCTATGTACAGACAGTTCATTCCAGTGAAGCTTATTCACAAGAGAGTTTGGATTGATTGTACACCTTCTAATTAGCATGACAAGCCCTTTGGATTCTATCCACCCCCAGCTCAGTTGTGCCTTGGGTCAGCAGTTATTGCAGTTATTGATTGCATAAAAAGTTTCTCCATTATTTCTCTATTTGTAATGTATAGATAGACTGTTGTGTAAAGTGCCTAATGCATCGTTAGGTGTTTTATATGGAATAATTATAAATCATTCAGTATGTGTAATCCAGTCATATTCAGGTTGAGGGCATCTGTAGATTTACGATGCAAAAAAGTCAAACAAATAGTCCATGGCTGTGTGCGTAATTATTTTTGGAATTTCGTTTGATCATAGGAGTCCTTGTACTTGATCCTCATTATGGTAAAAGTAGGAGTCAGGGTGGGGAGCAGGGAGGATGAAGTTCTAGGAACTGAATTGTTGGCCTCGAACCTGGCTTGTAGCTGATGTTTCTGCCTGCTCCTTCAGGAGATGAGAAAACCGCTTCATGAATGGATGAAATTAGGTAACTCCTTTAGTATTGCAATATGTCAGTGGGACAACATAATGCTGAGTATTGTGACGAAGAACCAAGTCCTCTGTTTTCTCCCTCTCCACCACCCTGCATGTGTAGAGATGGTTCACTCTGAGAGCTACAATCCAAGCCATAGTTGGCCTATACAATTGACATTTCACTGAAGTCATCACAAGGGTGAAGCTGGTATGGTTCATTAAGTAGTTCAGAACTTAAAATAGATGCTTTGGAGTGTGATTCTTGGAGGCAGAGCTAATTAAATCTCAGCACAACTTCTTACATGTAGTTACCACCCCCCATTTTATCCCCTACCCTCCTCCTTTCCTGGTGGCTCAGAACAGATTATGGTAATCATGCACAAGTCCTAGTCCCCTGCTCCCAAAGGCCCAACTATTACCATCACCGTGCATGAGTGAAACATCAGAAACATTAGGTTTTTTCTTACCTTAAAAACAACAACTTGTTTGATTATAAAAGGACCCAAACCTCCTGCTGGGTCACGTTTACTATCTCTGTTCCGGAGGAGCACCTATCAAGATGATGTGTTTGACTTCCTTCTCTCAGTTGATCAATTGATCTGTTCTCCATATTTTCTGACTCTGCCAAGCCATCTTCTATAAATACCAGGCAGAGGTAGATGTTTTTTTGCTTCTTATCTGGGACCATTGTCTTCCTCATTCCCACCAAAAAGGAGGGAAGGAATCCTAGATAGTTATAATCTTTCCACCAGCTCACTGATGGAGAAATTAGAATGGGAACACCAAAGGACCCATTGCCTTTTGTCTGAATGCCTGCTTTTGTGTAGAAAACAAGCATTGGTGTTCTTCCCTGCCCCCTTTAAGAGTGTGTATACAGTATATAGCTTTTCAAAAAGCGTGGTTCACTTCCAGAAGCAATGCTGGTACTAGACTTGCCACTTAGATTTCGAGGAACCCCTTTTAAGGCTCATTCCTTTGTGAATTTAAGTCAGATTCTGACCCAAGGCCTAGTGGGCAGCCATGTTGCTTTCCTTATTCTCTTCTTGTCTCATTTTTTATATAAAAAAGACCTATTCCGATGGTTGTCAGAATATGCTGCCTCCATAACAGCAGTACATTGATCATGTGGGGGGTTCGAAGCCGTGCTTCCTAGAATGTCTCCAGAACTTAATATCAGTCACCTTCATTTGATAAATCAAGTTTCATTTTGAGAAGGAATAACTACTCTCTGCTCCCCCTCTCCATGCTGTGTAGAATTGTATAGTCCCATATCTGCATATAGCAGGCAAATGCAATACTGGTGACCATGGGCAGCAATGGCTGAGATATTGAGACATCTACTGTAGGAGGAGCATGTGGGGCTGTGTGAGTGCATGTGCAAGGATTAACAGCCTTGAGGCTATGTGGGACCTGCTAAAATGCATGCTTTATACACACAGACAAACAGTTGTGCTTCAGATATACACAGGAAAAGGTACTTTGCATCTCAAAAGGCTGATTAAATTATTCAGAAATAAAATATGATTTAAAGTTGTAATTGGCATAATTAAGGAATTTTAAATAGCTGGTGAATAAGTGCTGTATAATACCATCACCATAAGGCTGCCAAAAAAGGCCACTTCTGGCAGTTCCCCAGCATATTTTTTTTTCTGATAGCTTGCGAGATTTAAGGCAAAATGGAGATTTCTCAGATTTCCTTCTGCAATGTGTAGGTTTTTTTTTAATTGAGCAGTGAATTAATCAGCTAAAGGTTTTAAAAAGTACCTGTAATAAATTTGGTGGGGCTAAAATGGAAGGGTGTGTTGCTGTGCAGACTACCAAAAACCCCGGTTCCCTTAAGTGCTGATTCAGGGGAGATAAATGAGAAACTTTATACTGCTCTTTTCCCAGTTAGCTTTTGATGGTGAAACTCCAGTGGCTTTCCTTCTGGTACTGGAAACCACAGATAAATAAAACTACGGTACTTGGTAGAAATCAAGGTTGCATCTTCTAAAACTCATTCTTCAGCAATGCTGATTGGATTTGATCTTGTTCCCAAACAAGCTACTTTGGGGTTGTTGTTGTTGTTTTACTGAAAAAAGAAAATCTTGTCGATCAACGAAGAAATTCTTAAGAAAGGCGTTTTCTTCCAGCCAATTCTCTTTACCAGATTGGAAGGCCTACCTCTTTCAGAAGATGTCCCTTTAAGAACTGGCATTTTCTTATTCATATATTTCATATATTTATATACAGCTTAAAACCAGAATGGTCTTTGTGAGGTTTACATATATGCACACAGACAATACTAAAAGAGTACAATATCAGATCAATAAAATCCCTCCAAAAGCGAAACGCACCCCCCCCCCAAAAAAAACAAAAGACAAAAAAGCACAAAACCCCCCACCACACTTTAAAAGCATGTTTAGAAACAGTAAAATGACTGCTAGGTACCTCCAAGGTGTATAGAAGCAGCCATCCGACTGCACACGCCCCCCCCCCGTCTTCCATCTTCCCCTCCCCGCTCGCCAGGTGTATTTTGTTATGCCATATGTCTTCAGTTGTTTCTGTTTAAACTATTTATTTGTGTTTTAGATCTTGTTTTTATTTTTGTGACCTTCCCTGAGATCTTTTGATAAAGGATGGTATATAAATCTAATAAATAAAATAATAAAAATAACAAATAAATAAATGTAGGCAATTAAAAGCCTAATGACTACCGTATTTTTTTGCTCTATAAGACTCACCTTTTCCCTCCTAAAAAGTAAATGTGTATGCGTCTTATGGAGCAAATGCAGGCTGCGCAGCTATCCCAGAAGCCAGAACAGCAAGAGGGATTACTGCTTTCTCTGTGCAGCGATCCCTCTTGCTGTTCTGGCTTCTGAGATTCAGAATTTTTTTTTTTCTTGTTTTCCTCCTCCAAAAACTAGGTGCGTCTTATGATCTGGTGCGTCTTGTAGAGCGAAAAATACTGTAATTACCGGTAATTAAATATTGAGACAGTAGGTAACAGTGGTGTGTAACTATTTTCACATTTTGAGGTTGGTGGGAGGAGGATACATCCCCGTCTTTGCTAAATGGAATATCCTTTACAAGCTTTCAGTTTTCCACCTCTTGGCACCAAAGCTTGGCACTGATTGGACATTTTGTGTGTAAGAGAGATCCTGCCCTCCTTGACAAGGCAAGTCCATTTTGCCCAACGTTTTGATTGAGGTAATCCCTGAGTACCTTGCAAGAAGAGGCCAAATATAGTCGCCATTGAAATCTTGCGAGTGTAGTTCTCTTACAAGTTGTTGGAGGGGCACTTGCTATTCCTAAAAGGGGAAATAAGAATTAGGCTGGAATGTCTGAATGTTTTTTGGTTGGCCAGGTGCCACTGCGTTGAATTGGTTGGATTTCCTTTCTTCTTTAGTCCAATTACGTACACTTAAATCAATACATCAGTGAAGTTTGTGTGTCTTTCTGTTTGCTGAGGCAATTGTGTTGTTTGGGCAAAAGAAGCTGTATCCTAGAACAGTGTTTTGTTATCCTTGGGTTTGATATGCTTTGCACTTATTCCAGCAGCTTTGAGACTGATGTTTTATGTGAACATTTTACTGCTATAACTGTTAATATTTTTTTATATGATCTGTATGGGAGAAGCTATGGTATGTACCTTATAGTTTTGGGTTTCCTTGCTAGGAGTGCAGCATGAGCCACAGAACTGTAGTCACCCTCCTTTTCTGCATTCACATTATTGATATAATTAAAATGTGTGTTTCTTTTTTAGCAAGAGTAAAGAATCAGTAAAAATAATTGTGTGGTGTTCAACACATGCGATTCTTACGTGGCTTTCTGGAATTGATTCCATAGTTCATTGCTGGCTAGTGGATCATCATTTGTACAGGAAAAACAAACCACATTCCTTGATTCGGACATAGCAGGAAGCCAAGACTTCCTGTTTTCTGTTTTTTTGTTTAGCTACACTAGGGGACGAGCAAAGTGAAAGCGATTGGGCAACATGTACCAGTATGTTGCTCGTTCAGTATAAACCATGGGAAACCAGAAACCCTGTTTTATCATTGCATGAGAATGTGACCAGTATCTAAGAACGTTCTCTGACAATGCATGTCCAAAGACCTTCCCCAGCCATAATTGCATAGATGGCCACCAAAATTAATAAGAATTAAAGCGCTGGTAGTGTCAAAGGCAGATCTTTCATCGTGTTTTTAGAAGTGCCTTTTTAAAAGAGAAGTTGGGCAACAAATTTTGTTGACCTGTCTAGTTTGGTTTTGCCATTCTTTCTAGATTTGATATAAAGTAGACATCAAAATAGTACTATAACTTAATTGTGTTTTATGTATGTAATCATTTACAAGAAAGGGTTCGTGAGCAAAACACGGCTGCCTGGGATGGTGATTGAAGTGCCATACTTGACAGAGGACAGACTTCAGTGGGTTTGGACTAGTCCCTCTTTTTCAGTTTCCCTCTTGTGATAATGTGTTTATGTACCAAATGTATCAGAATTTGTTGTTGGGATGAATGAGATTAGAGGTTTGAAGCGGCTTGGAAAAACGAAACTAAGCAGAAGTCCAGATTAAAAATAACTAAGTATTTGTTCCAGTTTGCCAGGAGTTGTATGTTGACTCATCAGCCTGCTTATTGGTGGGCTCATCAGCATACTTAGCAAAGATGCAGCCTTTAATGGATTATTAGATTAATGGATTCGATTAATGGATTATTGGATTAAAACATTTATTACAGTGCAGATCCCCATACGTGTGTACACAGACATAAGCATGATTGAGTTCAATAGGATCTACTTCCCAGGGAAGTGTGTATGGGGTTGCAGGTTAAACCTACTGAAATAGTGATTAATTGAGCATTTAAAAATAAATAAATATTTTCTATTTATTTATTTAGAAATGCCTTCCACAGGAACACCTGCATGACACCCTTGTGCCATGCCAGGCAAAATTATTTCTGTTTAGCTGTGGCCAATGGCTTACCGTGAGCATGCAGATGTCCATGGCTTTGCTGTTCCCAGTAGTGAGTGGGAGAAACAAAACAGAATTCTTGGCTTAGTGTTACATCTGAACCAGTTATCATTGCTTGTTTCACTCCATTCTAGAAACAGAATCATGGAGTAGGAAGGGACCCTGCGGACCACCAAGTCCAGCCCCCTGCAGTGCAGGAATATGCAGCTGTTCCACATGAGAATCGAACCTGCAGTCCTGGCATGATCAGTACCAGGCTCTAACCAGTTGAGCTACCTGAAGCCAGTATTTGTTTTGGCTCACTAATTAAGGCTTGTTTCGAGTGAAACAAGCCAGAACCCCTGGTTCAGATTTAACACTAAGTCAAGGATAATGGTTTTTGCTCCCCCTCACTAGCAGGGAGGAGTGAAGCTGGAGAGATCTCTGTGTTAATGGCAGACCTTTAACCATGGCTTACCAGGATGTGTTTCATGCAGCCATGGACTAGTAATGATAGCCATTGCTATTTCAACATAAAACCCAAAGGAGCAGCACACAGGTGAATTAAAAAATTATGCATAGCACATGCAGAATAAATTTCAGTTAATTAAGATGGAAAAAAATAAAAGAAATCAAAACAAAGGTAAGTAAAAATGTTATTGATTATGCATAATTTTCCCTTTTCCTTGTAGCTTGAAGAAGAAATCAAATTTAGCCACAGCCCTTATATTGTTTGTTTTTGTCCAGCATTTTATAAAAGCTAATCCATATAGAAACAGGTTTGCTCTCAGTTAGCAAAACTTTCCTGAACAAAATTTGCCTTTCAACTTTATACAATGCTTATTTATGGGGATCTCTAATACCTATGTTCATCACAGTTTTACACATTTGTTTTAAGGCTCATGCAACACAGTCCTTTTCTGACATTTGTTATAGTTTTTGCATTCTATGAGTGTTGTTAATTTATCATCATCATCATCGCCATTGTCATAATCAAAATGTACATCCCGCCTTTCTGTAAAAATATCAATGGAAGCTTAACATTTAGAAGTACACAAAAACAGTTACTATAATCTAGTTGATTAGTTGTACAAACCAACTCCAGACCCTGGTTGAAAGGTAATTGCAATAACGTGTGGTGCATAAGAGCGTTTTCAATTTAAGCAAGAGTGCTAAGGTGATAGTAGAAATAGAAGAATATGATCTTCTCCATATGGGAGGGATTGTAATGTTCACTATGGTTCACTAAAGTGGCTTGGAGTGTTGGAAGCAAATTGAAAAATAGACCTTCCAGTATATGTATACCTGTTGGCACTGTTCCATGTTGTCCTTTTCAAAAAAGAAAGAAAAGTTATCCTGCCAGTCTCTAAATTCTAGAGTGGTGTTACTTGTGTTACATATTACAATTTTGCAGAAATTGTTCTTCTGTTTTAGGTTGATAAATACCGCACCCCCTCCACCAATAACTTCCAAGATGGTTAATTCATTTCTCTTCTGGTGTGGTTAAGTTTGGCTATTTGTCCAGCTCATGCAGGCCAGATTTTTGGAGATGAGACTTGGGGCACTTCTATGAAAGCCAAGAGCACGGAGCCCAAATAGCCTGCCCCATGATAATTCAGCCCACGCTGAATAGCTTTGTTGTTCTGTCAGGCTGAAGTGCTGCAGAATGTAGGCAGGCAGAATTTTCCCCATCTCTTCAGTCTCCTGCCTAAATCTTGATTTTCCCTAAGGCCAGGCTGTTAATCCAGTGGTAGATACTCCAGGCCTACTGCTTTCTCTTTGACTTGGATAGCAGGGTCCGCAAGTGGACGATGGGTTTGTGTACTCTGTTTCCCTTCCACCTGTCAGTTCCCTCAAGTTATGCTGCTCTCCTCCTTCCAGTCCTCTTTACTAATTGAATCAGCTACCCTGAGTGGCAAAGGAAGAATTAAGATATTTACTCTTCCTTGACCCGATGGTGGGCTTCCTTTTTCTCTTTGCTGCTCTAGCAATTACTTGGCATTTACATTACAGTAATTCCCTGAGCCCACAATTCTCTTCGTGCTGGGTTTTGTATGTACTACGTGCACTTGGGAATCTTTCATTGGGATTCTTTTGTTGTGAAAGAAAGAAAAAACTGGCAAAGTAAACAAATACATAGAGTGGCAGCTCCCGTTCTCGTGAGGAGTAGCGGGCTATTCAGTGGGTTCAGCTTTTCTTATTGTGTGTTGAATTCATAAAATAGTGTGTGTAGACTGACACCTTATCAGCTTAGAGGATTTGCTGTGGAAAGTTGCCAAGATGCAAATCAAGTTGTGGTAACACACACCCTTTTTGTGCAGAAGGTATAAGGTTTAGTTCTTGGTGTCTCTAACAGGTGACAAGAAAGACATTTCTCTGCCAGTTCGTAAAGGGATAGTCTGACCCTGGTATAAGGCAGGTTTCTATGCTCCGTCACAATTCTCCTGACAAGATCTCTTTTGATACTATGCATTTTTGAAGTATTTGGTAAAAAATATGTTGGCCATCAGTTTAAAAGATGTGTGCCTTGCCTGTTTCTGTGCAAAGGGATGGTCGGCTTCCTCCTCTTTCAGTAAACTTGTCCTTTGCAAGGCTCTCCAGTGTTTCACTTGAATAACATGTCTAAACTATACAGTACAGATTCCTTATTTTAGCACTAAGACTTACAAAGGCTTCTTTTAGCAGCCTTTAATTTTGTACTTATGTATGGGAGATAGCCTGTGGCTGTGATATCTACTGTGGATCTGCAGTTGTTTGGGGATGAAAGAAGGCAGCAGCTGGAAACTCGGTAGCTACATCTAGCCATCTACCTCAAGAAGGCCTTGATTTTCGAGTTTATCTAAACAAGCTCGACTAATCCCAACTATCTGGGGGGATCCACTGTCAAAACAAGCAGCATGGCCCTGAGGCAAACACAACCACACAGAAATGAAGGCTGGGACTGCTAATACTCCAACGACTGCCTATTGGAGGCCTTTTCTGCTTTTTCTGAGAGACTGTAGGAGAGAGGTGGCATTTGCATAATGCCTTTTTATTGGGAACTTTTGGAAAGCCGACAGAGGTCCAGCTTATAGCTCTCAACCACAATGCAGAGTCTATAGGAGAATCCTTGAATGACCTAACCATATTGGGAAGGGGGGAGGGGGATGAAAGCGCCTTAGTACAGCCAAGGGAGGCGGGCAGGAGGGGGGCCGTGGTAAGAGAGGAAAGGCGGGGGGGTTGCTGCATTGTCTAACATCTGCTCTCCTTCTCGTTAGTTTTGTTCTTTGCTATTCTATGTGGACTTTGGAGAAACCTAAGACAGCCAAACACGGATCCTATAATCTTCCTTCTGAATATTTATGCAAGGAGCCAGCCTCTAAGCTGCCCTTCGCATCCTCCTTTCTCCCTACTCCCATTTTCATGCTTTCAAATGAGGCCAACTTTTCAAAAGCTTAAATAACTGTTTGTGGATGTTTATAAAAAAGATTTGCATTAATTTGGTTTTATTTGGCAGATCAGTGTTATTATCTATATCTATATCATCTATATATCTATATCTGTATCTATCTGTCATCTATCACACACACACACACACACACACACACACACACACACACGGTGGGATGGAGGAGGTGGGGGAGCAGGATTCTCACCTGAAGGAAGCAGGATTATTGATTAAGAGGGTGAAGTTTATTGTGATATTTAGCCAGCTTGCCCTTGAGAGGCCAAATGATGATTTTTGGGAATCGTTATTCCTCATTGCTTGGTATAACGGCAGTCTTCTGAAGACTAGTTTCCAGGAGGATTTGAATACCTGCAGGAAATGTTCCCAAACTTTCTCTGCATTGCAGAGTTAGAAGACAAAATGACAAAAGCTTGTGTTTTGAAATGCAAGGATACCTAGTACATACTTTTTTCTCACCTCATTTATAGCTGCTTTGTTGCCTATACTGAAGGTGATATTCCTAGGTACTTGGAGAAGACCAATTGAAATTAAAGTTACCTAAGAACTTACTCTATTCTGAACTAAAAAATGGAAAGCGTGATGCTGGTGGTCAACAAAAGAGGTTCAAAGACTCTCTCAAGGCAAATCTTAAAAAATGTATCAACACTGACAGCTGGGAAACTCTGGTCTGTGAGCGCACCAAAGGTGTCATGGGTTTTGAAGACACTTGAACTCAGGACAAAAGGGAGAAACGTGCTAAGAGGAAAGATCCCTCACTGTGATCAGCTCCTGCCCGGAAACCTATGTCCCCACTGTGGAAGGGGATCCAGAATTGGTCTCCACAGTTGCTTACGGACTCACTTTTAAAACTGTGTTTGTGGAAGACAATCTTACTTGGCCACGAGTGATCGCCAAAGAAGACCATGTCGTCAAAATCAACTTGCTCAGTACATTTAGCACTCTTGCATTTTTGTGGGTGCTGTTTTATTTATTCAGAGTATTTATAAGCTGCTTTTTATTTGTAAAGGAAAGGTGTATGACACTAGTGTAAGACACTAGAGGACAAACGCATACATAGATTTAATCATCTCAGTGGTTCTTTCCCTGTAATTTGGTCTATAAACTGGGACTAAAGGAATCTGAACTTTCAGCTTTCCATTGTGTGTATGTATTTTCAGCGCAGCATTAATTATTATTTATTAAATTTGAATTTAATTTTTTACTAGTGCTACCGAGAAAGTCTGAATTTTAAAATTATGTTTGAATTAAGTTAGCATAATGTTTTATGTCTGTGTTTAAATCCTGTATGGCTGAGAGAGAGGTTCCCTTTCCCCTCTCTTTGCATGTGAATGCCATTAAAGGAACAAGCCGGAGCTATTTTTTTTTCTCTGGCACAATTTTTTCCTATCACATCTGCTAGGTCTGTGTCCCAGGAGGAGAAGCACAGAGCAGTGAATTCAACCCAGGCCCATTATCTCCTGCTTTTGCCTATGTTGTATAAGGAGCAGGACCTCTGGGAGGCTGGGACTTTCCTCCTGTGTAACGTCCAAGCCAGATTTGAAGGGTTGGTGGCCTTAGGGGTGGATTTGACGAAACAGGCACGATGAAGTTAAAAAAAAGTCAGGGGTTATCGAAACTGATAATGAACGGGCTTCTCTCCCCACCCCGCTTACCAGACAGTAAATAGTTCCCCATCGGTGTGCTACTTTTGGATTTCTGATTTTAAATCCATACATCTCTCGCTTTGCTTACAAAACTTCCCCTATATTTTGAGATTCTTTCCCCCCATGTGGGGCAATTGGGCCTTTCCACTAAAAGGATTTTCATTACCCTTTACTTAGCTTCTCATTGCTCCTGCAAGCAAGATGAAATATGTG